CGTCCTCCAGTGGCGGGAGCCATGCAGCCTGCTGGGGCCAGGGGCCCTCATATGCATTCTGCCCGGATGCTGGCATTGATTTGCTATTAGTCTCCACGCACCACCCAGTAGCACATCATTCCCGGAGCTGCTATTAATGGCCTTTTGATAAATAATCACTTGTAAGTCAATAAATTTTTATTAAACAGTGTGGCGCTTTGATTTATGAAAATCTGACGGGGTTTGTCTGGGAGAAAAGGGATGCAGAATTGAAGCGGAGCTGCTATCCATCTGCCTGCCAGGGTGCCCTGCCCGCGCTTGCACCCACACGCCCCCGCGGCAGCTGGCCCGGAGCTCTGCGTGCGCCCGGTGGAACCGTGCCGGTGTGCCCCAGGGCTGCCCAGCCCCAGGCAGGCCCTGGCTGTGGGGCACGAGGTGAGTTTGGGGAGGGCAGAGCTGCTGCTTGCCAGTGACCAGGCTCCGTCCATGTGCCCTGTTGAGACCCCAGCACTGGTGGGGAACTGCTCTGCTGCAGCAAGGCACAGCGAGTGGCCAGTGCTCTCTGCCCGGGAATCGGAACCGTGGGAGCAGTGGTACACAGAGCGGGCGGGAGAGGCGGGTGGTCCTGACCGCTGCCCCAGGGCGCTGCGCAGAGCGGGACTGCTCCGGGGACCTGTCCGGCTGCAAGGATGCACGGGGCAGCCAGGCTGCGGCTGCGATTTGTCACTCTCCCCGACTACACCCGGCCCTTTGCCACCTGCTTTATTTGTCTCCCAGCCGTGACGTGGCATCAGACAGGTGTTAAACTACTTAATCACTTTAAAATTGTTTTAATTTTCTGTTTTGTATTGATCTCCACAGCACCAATTAATCAGCTCACTGGACCAGGCAGTTAGTACATTAAAAATTGTCAGCCACGCTGGGCAGCTTAGAAAATGTCAAAAAAATATCCCGACAGCAGCCCCTCACTTCTCCCACCGTGCAAAGCTGCTCCGGCTGTGCTGGCTCTGCCCATGAGTGGTGACGTGGCTCTCCCAGCCCTG